GGACCCAAATCGGACCCAAATCGGACCCAAATCGGACCCAAATCGGACCCAAATCGGACCCAAATCGGACCCAAATCGGACCCAAATCGGACCCAAATCGGACCCAGGGGAAAGAAGATTTTCGTATATTTCCATCTATTTCAGGTTTTCTAAACCTCTCCCCAACCCAATTTTTATACAGTACACAGGACGTTACAATATATTAACACAGAGGCATCACGTACCACATGAAAATTCATAATAGGTTTATTACATGTGTTTAAAAAATTATCAAGTAACTTTTAAAAGGGGGCTTAAACACGAAACCTATTTTTGTACATATGTTTCAGTATAATGTCCTCTTTCGTATGACACCAAGAAATTACAATTGCCGTCATGCACAACTGAGCACAAAGTAGTTAATGGACCCTGTCAAAAATGGCTTTGTCCCTGTTTCCTTCAATGGAAACTTCTGCTGTTATTCTCGTTGCAAACATTACGTAATTTTCAAAAAAGCCATCTCTGGACAGTATGAATTCAACATCAAAACAGCAATGTGGCCCAAGCCATTTCTGCCATAGTCCATTACACCACTATGTGCTCAGTCCTCTATTATGACGGAAGTTCGGATTTCTTGGTGTCATATGAAAGATGACTTCATAATGAAACAGATAATGGTTACCATTTACGAAAACAATTAGTTACATCCAAGAGATAAAATTTCCTTTTAAGATACCCTGTTCACCAAACAATTTACGTTGGCTTTAACAAATGTTCCATAGACATTCGATGGAAGGATATCAGGTCATGCTATGAAATAACCACTTTGCGACAATTTGACACATTTCTGTGTCAGGATCCGTAGCAGTATACTGAATGCTCTTCAAACCAATTTTTATGTTTTCCACATACTGAAGAAAAGCTTATAATGTAGACACAACCTCTTCGAGATAATGTTTAGCAAAATATTTATATTATATGGTAGCACCAGTTTCTCCCCAAAATATCAGAGAACATGTCTTCCCCAGTTAAACTAAAATGAGGAAATATTTTAAAGTCCATGAAATCCGTCGGTAGGCCAAGCTTGGAATGGTCACTGGGTTTCCTTGTTTAGTAAGACTCAATATTAAATTTCCTCAGAAGTTAGGAATTGTTGGTTATACTCTCCTTTAGAGAAACTAGTGCTTTTTACATCGTGTACCTACTACAATCACGGAAGTGGTATTCCATCCTTAATATTTTTGCTGGTAAATTTCCTTGAAGGCAATGTAGTGAAAAACGTCAACGTACTCTAAGAGTTTAAACTAAGAAGAGTTACAACTTACAATACATGTATAAATAACAATTCTTAAGGACCCCTAGTACCTAAACTGCAAATGTTTTGAAATGTCACAAAACATGCCCAAACTTTTGGGGACGCATTCAATTTCATCTTCAGCAGAAAAGTCGTTTTCTGTTCTGGTGCATTCATCATACCAACCGAGTTGAATGAAGTATGCGCAGATACATCTAAGAACATGACATCACAAATTTCAAAAATACACAACAAATAAACTAAAAATCAAGTGACGCAAGATCCAAACTAAACTGCACAATAAATACAGTTCCTTCGAATGTGAAGGAAATTAAAAGATCAGGTTTCCGGAAAGCTATTTTTTTAACACATTTGACCACCACTTACCAAAGTTACTCAGTTCAAGCATGGAGGAAAGAAACAGGAGTTTGAACTACCCAGGTCATAACACCTGGCCAGTTACCGCTTTCTGGCATGCCTGGTAATTTACATCCTTCAAACTTTGTGTACTGAAGTAAAGGAAATTGAATATTCATGTTTTGTTTGTGCATGGTTTTATCTCATAACATCAAATTTAATGCTTCTGCAGCTGCTTATGTTAGGCTATGTGCCCTAAATATTCATGTTCAATTACTGCCCTTCAGGAATGCTTTCTTCTGGTCATTTTGGGAATAAATAGCCAAGTTGTTTATAAGATTTCGTGGTTTGAACCATCTTCATTACGGCATTTATACAAGAGTGTATTACATGAGATCTTATGATCACTCCGTGTGATAAAATTTTGATGCGCATTTTGTTTGTTATGAACCTAGCTTTCCAGTGGTGGTCAACATGTTATTGGCCAGTCTAAGCCAAATTCGTACCAGGTATTTGTCTGACTAAGCTACAAGCAGCGACTGGACGTTTTCATGTTTTCTATTCGTCTGAACCCGATCATCCAGCATTTTGAAGTGACAAAGTTGTGACTCCTGTGTCCTCACTACTCCAAGTTCAAGACTTCACTCACGGCTAAATGTCTTATACATAACTAAGTTAAAGGTTATTCAGTTCAAAACCTCCGTGAAGTTTAGTAGTCTGACGCACTGTCCGCTCGAATTGTGCTTAATTGGTATTATTTAAGGCAGCTCAAAAATCCTCCCCCGCGGTAATGTGGGAGAATCTGTTAAGAAACACCTACCCCAAGAATCACTCCTTAGACAAATTTCCTTTCACGTCTTGTGCTATTTCCTGAAAGTAGTGCACCATCTAGTGCTACGACGCGGAGCCGCCATGTTCGTCTTTTTATTGCACACACTAATGTGGGAGAGGAGTCTACTGCGCTCACAGGATATTAGGGCGATACCATTACATAACTGTTTTGTGACATTTTGACATGGTCCTGGACAGGGATACGTGTCCCTCGCAGTAAATGAATTCTTCATATTGCATATAAAGAAATACTCATTGTAGACAAAACCTGTTGGAGAGTTTTGTGTTTCGCAAAACCTTCGTAGCACCAGTTTTTCCCACAAATAAATATCAGAAAACCTGGCTTCGCTCATCAAATGTTGTAAAGTTTCTGAACCATTCCATGAAATCCATCGGCAGGATATGCTTGGAATTGCCAGTGGATTTCTGGGATTACTAAGACTTTACATTCAATTTCACCAACAGTAGTTAGGTATAGTGCTGTACCATATCTTTTGGAAGAAACTGGTATTTTTTTAAATCATGTATCACAACAATTGACGGAAGTCGTGTTGCATCCTTGTTACCCTTTTAACCAAATTTTCTTAAAAGGCATTGTACTAAAAAAAACGTGCATGTGCTCTAGAGGAAACGAGAGGAGAAGAAAAGAGGTTCAACGTGCAATACATGTATAAATAACAGCTCTAAAGGGCCCCCATACATATGTAACCTCCAAAGAGTCAAAATGTCACAGAACATGCCCCCAGTCTCACAGAGGGTCTCGTTTCAATTCCATCATTAACATTCTGCGTGGCATAATAGTGAAATGTAATTTAAAAATTACACCGCTACTTTTTTATGTTGTGAATGAAATTAACAGGTAAATACTCAGGCAGCATACATTACTTTTTAAAACAGATTTGACAACTACATTTACTTCGGAAGTTGCTCAGTTCCAAACTTCATTGTAGCCTAATGGTCTTATACATAACAAGGTAAATTGGTATAACATACATCACAAGTTTTGGGTCCAATATGATCGTAACCTCTTTTACCAATCAAAGACTGTTAAAAACGAGAAATGTGCACCCTTTTCAATTCCAATTTATGATTTCAAGCGTAACAGTAAACATAAAAAAAAATAGTGTTCTTTCACTGCATATCAACTGTTTAATGTTTCTTCGACTATTTCGTCATTGTGTGATACGCTTGCGTGATGCAAGCAAAAGAATGTTACGGCATCCAAGTTAGTTATCGGCACTAAAAACTGAGGGAACACATTTTGCTTCACTTTCATGCCCTGTGGATTCACATGAAATTGCAGCCTGCCAGAAATTACACGCTGTTTTCTTCCCCTATATTATGACTTTCATGGAAGCAAAGGTTTCACCAGAGTATTCGTCTTAGGAATGTGTGAACAGTATCAAACATTTTTTTATACAGATTTGATTGCTCTTCCAGTTTTACACCATCTGAATTTTTTAGGAGATCAAGGAAAGAGTGCCTTGCTGTAATTTACAACCAAAAAAATCAATTTCATGTACCTATTATACCAGCTTAAACAGTTTACACACCTATGCTAGTCTATTTGATAAAACGATAAAATCTTGTTTGGATGCAACTAAACTTCCCTGAACAAATTTAAGTTTCAGTTCTAGTGGATGGATTCAAGGTAAGGTAAAACAAAGAACAGTTTGTTTCCTCACAGATCGAATAGGTCTTTTTCTGCCGCAGATCCATTCATTAAAAGCCCAATCGCTGACTCTTTCCGATAACCGCGAGACCACAGAATCGTTGTCATCAAGAACCCAAGTAAAAAAAAAATCGGCTTCATAAAAGTACACCATTGAAGCAATTGATTTTTATTTAAAGGTAGAAAAGAAATCTTTAGGTTACAACTTTAAAAAAATATGACTATTTGTCTGCAATGTATTAAAAGCGGGAAAATAATCACTAAAAATTTTTGCAAAGTACACATTTCATGTATGTGTTCCGTGACTCCATGACTTGGGAAGTCCGGAATCTAGACAACTCGAATTTTAATTTATTTCAGATGATGCCCGGCCGCGGCTTTTGCGACAGATTTTATCCTTCAAACTTTACCGTATAAGCCGCCTGGCGTATAAACCGCAGAGACTTTTACAGCATGATAATCAACGTAAAAGGTGCGGCTCGTATTCCGAAAATTGGTATTTCATAACATGCTATATTATACTCCTTTTTTCTGTAGGTGTAATACAGGCCCGCAACCAACAGCGTATTAGCTGTTAGGCCATCAGACTCGGGTTGAGCACCCGAAGAATCCCCACCATACCACAAAAAAAGAGAGAGATCCCTCACTTAATCGTAGCGTGCCACATTCTATGCAATTACATACGTCACCGCTTTCACAAAGAGCCACAAATGTTGAAAATGTCATGTCAAAATAACAGTAATGTTGTTAGGCGCCAAAATCTCGATAAGTGCATTTTGCTTTTTCAAAAAGAGCCACTAATCTAAATGTCCCTCGTACACGTACAAAACGTATTGACTGAAAAGACCGAAGTGTACATGTAGGTCAGCTAAAGTTTTCATTTCACAAAGACACATGTATCGTGCTGAATTCACAGCAGCACGTGCGTAAACATGTATTTTCCTTCTCTCTGGAAAAAAATAGATTGAAAAGAAGGGCAAAAATGTAGGAAAGCGTGGATTTTTCATTTCACGAATTCGGTTTTTTAAATGTGACACAGAGCTATCAACACGAATCAAAATAAAGACCAATCGTCTTTTTACCTACCAAGTATCATGGCTGTAACAGAGAGAGACATTCAGCCCCCATTAGTTGAGTGCTTTGTAAACGTTGTACAAGACGGACATTCGTTTCTTTCAGCGCAACATCTTGCAACTGGCAGGTCATTAGAACCCCACCACCGTCATCCTTAACCTTCTTATGAGGCGTACCACTCCGCATGTACTCTAGCGTAAGGCGCGTTTGGAACTGCATGACGACGTGACCAGCAAGGCAATGGTCAAGCCCAAACGGGGAAGTGAACCATGGCTGATCTGTAACAGCACTCGCGACTCTGGTCTGTCAAGGCTCCAGGGTCAACTGTGAAGATGATGGGTCACGTGTTGAGGCGCCATGGCCACAATCCCCGTTGGAATCTGTGATAAAGTTGTAGTCAGTGGTGTTGTGCCAACTGCAATGATAAGACAAAGTAGTACATAAGACGCATTAGTCTCTAAGAACAAAACAAATTGAAAAACCAATGTAGCTGAAAAAAGAACTCATTGTTTTATAAATTTATCCAGCTCCACTTTAAAACTATGTAAAGCATTATCTTAGTATTTCATTAGTGGTGACATTGAACGGTTTAAAGGTTTAAAGTTCTTCATTCTTCAACACAGGAGGAGGGAAACACCTCGGCACAATCTTACCAAAACGTCAATTTAATTTAAGCAAAGCTTTGATGGAAGTACTGTACAAAGTATACGATGTATTGGAGTATCTCAAGAAACTGTGTCTATTTGATCAGCACGGACAGTTTTAACAAACGAGGACAAATAGATATTCGTACTCTGGTCACGAAGTTGACACGAGACCAGCGGGTCGAGTGTATCACAGCTGACGTCATTAATCCAACTCAGCGTCCCTGTGAGGTACCGGTAGATCTCCATGCAATTCTCTGAAGCTTCACCCTTCACCAAGAACGTGCTCTGTGACAGATTTCCTGAAAAAATAAATAAAACTGCACACCAACTGTATAATGTTGCCTCGGCGATTTCGTCATTGTGTGATACACATGCGTCATACAAGCGTCACAGCGCGTCTATCTGTAACATCTCAAAACCCAACCTTTACTTTTCGTGTTGAACCCTTGTTTGAGCTGAATCCTTTTCTGAATAATGCACCATTTTGGGGAAGATTCGAGCGTGCAGAAAGGAGGAAGGTTTTTCTCTTAAAGCATTGTGCTGTTGGTGCCTGGTGCTGTGTATGCAGGCGCAGTATACACAACATTCACTGAATATTGATTACTGTTTGCCGTGGTACTACCACTTTACGGTCGTTAACAGGATGGACTCAGTTGAGGAAATTATCTCGGTATCATGCAAATTTCGTCCAAAATTTTTCCTCTACAGTATTTTCTTCCCGGTACCGTGGTTATTAACGTACGATTTGTCACAAACTCCAAGGCCCGTAAACATCAACGATCATAACCAGAATAAATTGTCCAAGCACGATATTTTTCTAATTTTAGTAGGCTTTCAGATTTCTTTTCTTTTCTGGGCAGCCATCTTGCTTCTCTACCATTTAAAACAATGAGTTAAAACCAAGATGAGGCTGGAAAGAAACAGTCTGCCCCTTTAATCAATATGTGAAGTTTGTTACAATTGGCAATGGTCTAGACAGGGCAGCATTAGGTCTGTGGGTCTGTAGGAAGGGAGCGTCAGTCAAAGGTGGGTCAGTCAACTTGAGCCATTATGATGAAAGCCATTCCTTTACCACGTGAGTCCATGAAGCCGAAACGAATTTTTATCGAAGTCATATCATGCTCTTGTTTTTCTCTGCAGCTGTAATATGGGTCCGCAACCAACAAGGTTTAAGCTTTTTGCCATCAGACTCGTGTTAACCGCTTTTTTCATAAAAAATTCCCACCCCCAAAAAACAGTAGGATCCCTCACTTAGGCGGTTATGCGCAACAATCTATGCAATTACATACATCCTCGTAACATTAAAGTGAATTCGGAGAAACATGAACGAGTATCACCACAGGTTATGCAGGCACGTTACCAACGCAGCAGAGATATCTCAGGGGCCTTCAGTATCGACGCCTAGAATATTCATGTCAAATTCAATGAATGTATTCGTTCTGCAGCATCTTCCACACGAACAGTTACAATAAATTTTGTGTTCCAATGCCATTTCTGTCAGACAGAATAGATTGGGCTGAGCAACGAGCGACTATATCAGTTTGAAAGCATTCAAGGTATAACCGCGCTAAAGCTTTTTCATTTGCACATACAACGCTTCTTTCGAACTCGTACAGCCACCGCGTTGCCTTGCTTGCAACATGCATCAGGCGTCAAATGCTTGTGCGAACGCATAATTAGTTCAGTTTCTTAACCTATAGGTCTAGGTGGAAAGATTCGGGCGAAGTACCCTGATTCCATACTAAACGTTCTTTAGTTTTCCTTTGGGAGGGTGTTTGCGACGGCGAAACCCATTAAAAAAGCGTGTGTAATTATTTATTTTTACGACTTCTTTCCAAAAGAATTATACAGTATGTTTAAAAAAAACCGAGATTAACTTGTTAATATCTTGGACATGGTGAAATATTTTGGAAATTGGTAACCACCATTTATTAACTAATGATGTCCTCTTTCTAGTGACACCAAGAAATCCAATTTATTGTCACAGTTGACTGAGAACGAAGAAGTTCAATCAACCATGTCAGAACTGGTCTTACACCAGACAGAATTTTTGGTACAGACCCTTGTCTGCGCAGTTCACGGCTTTTGTTGGGCCTCCAAATTATGCAATCATCAGCACGTTATCTCATTGCACACTCCTTAAAAGTTGGCAAAATGCAGCTTACAACTGAGCAGCCTGTGTTTGTGGTAAAAGAGTGGTTTGAGGACTGGAAGCCTCAAGCAAGTAGAAGGTACATTTGGTCAGCGTTTTCCTGACCGTTCCATTTCCGCCAAGTCGATAATTTGGAAAAAACATCTGGGAGTACCAAAAGGAGGGGACAAGCTTGAATCCCAACAAGGATCGCCCAGGCTGACGAAGAACGGCAAGATCAGATGCGAACATCAGGGCTGTCCTTGAGTTGCTACAAAGAGACCAGCACGTGTCTGCCAGGAGAAATGGGCTAGGAATGTCGCCATCCCCTTTTCACAAGATTGTTCGATAGGACATCCAATGGTACCCTTACAAGATACACAGGCGAGACGAACTCTTTCACGCAGATCTATCCAGACGACTAAGATTTTGCCAGTCGTTCCTTGACCAGTATCCCAGATTCTTGGAGCACCTTGTCAGTAAACCAGAATGTCTGCGAATACACTCCGATGCATACCCCACCCAACTTCAGTTTTGATGTGAAAATGACCCGAGAGAAGATTTCTCTTTGGATAGGTCTGTGTGGGGATGGCACCGTCATTGGATCCCGTTTCTTTGATGGCAATCTCCATGGTGAATGTTACTTTTAGATTATCAACGACGAAACTGTACCGCAGTTAGAGCAACACTTTGAACACCTCGGGTAGAACGTTTGGCTGCTTATGTCCAGGATGGAACTCCAGCTAACCGTCGGATCATGGTGAGGGAAAGGCTACCAGAGTTGTTCAGCACCAGAGTTGTTCAGCACGAGAGTAATTGGTTTCAACCATGAGATTGAGTGGCCACCAAGGTCCCCTGATCTCACCCCTGTGATTTCGTTTTTTGGGACATCTTAAGAACCACATTTACAAGTCGCCACCCCAAGATATCATTGACATACGTGTCAGAATCTTCGCTGCAGTTGAGACTTAAGAAGACAGAGAGACATAATCAGGAATGCATTGAGAACGATGAGGACCAGCTGAATCTTGTGTTGAAGGAATGGGGGCATGCTGAAGGACAATGGGATAAGTTCGAGACAGGCATAAACATGTTAAGTCACTAAAAAAAAATTGTTGAGGAAACACTGGTCTTTCTTTTTTAAGGTATGAAACTTGTTGGAGTTAGGCTGTGGTGAATCTGGATTTCCTTGTGTGAAGAGAAAGAGGACATCATTAGTCAATGAATGGTGTTGCCAATTTCCAATTACCCATGAAATGAAGAAATTAATCCATTTTCCTTTAATTTAAAACGCACTGTTAATTTCGTCGCAGAGCTGACGTACCGGCGAACCCACCGTTTTGGCGATTTTTAAATGTCAGTTTAGGGGATCTGAAAGGTTGCTCTTTCAATTTTGGGGGCCAAAATCCCGTTTTCCCCCGATTTTTTGAAAAAAAAATGGGAGGCCCCACCCTGACGGATTGTTCAAGGCAGCATACAAAGAATTTAACATAGTGACAAATATACGATTTGCCACTTTGAAATATATCAGGTACACTCTACTCAGTTGACAAACTGACGAACATGTGTTTTCGCTGGTGACTATTAACGATCAAATCAAAGTATCGGCTATCATCATCTACATACAATAGCTCTTTGGTTGGCAAGATGCTTCGCAAAAAGTGAGTTTTCGATTTAGTTTTGTATTTTGCGATTCCCAATAAAAATACTATGATATTCAGCACATATGTCTTGCGTTTAACACCTCAATGGCCTGCTACATATCCGCGGTCTTTCTCAACTGCAGTGTCTGTTTAACTAAGTTAGGCCTAAGCTTATGCGGGGAGCACTGCTGGCTTAGCACTTAGGCCTACTGTAATAATAAAGTCCACTGTTGGATGTTCTTAGGTCTTGTTACAAAAATAATTAGAATAACTGAAAGGTGAAAGGAACTTGCTCCGCCTGCATTTTAAAGACTGGCCTATGCTATGTCATATACACCTAGCGCGGATTAAGCCTAGCCTATACACGCGGTCTGCCCATTTCGCAATACAAGATAACTGTGTTCTCCTGTTTCTGTTGTAATTACCCCAAGGATTCTTTTTGGCATAAAAGAAAAGGTAAAAGTAATGCCCTTAACTTTTAAGTTTGAAAAATTATTGTTCCAAACAGCATCCGTGTTGTGATAAATTTGTAAAAGTATTGATTAACAACAAATTGCGTTTATAATTGCAGATGACATTTTTGGCGTAGTAAGCAAATTTTCAGTTCTGCAAATCAGAATCACTTTTATTAGGTTCATTATGAAAGTTTATTCTAGGGATTTTTGTAACTTGGAAAACAGATAATACTACAATTTATGATGCACAGAATTGAATTTTTTTTCTTCTCACGTCCTTTAGAATGCGTCATCCTAAACCAGGCACTGACGTATTAGTTCAATGGGAGGACAACTCCATGAATGTTGTCATATCGATGATCTGAAGTGTTTATCGTCAGATGTGTTGACTCGCGGTAGCAAGGTCTGCATGTGACGGAAACCACATAATAAGTGGTGGTAAGAAACTGTTGCTAATTTTGAAGGTACAGAAGATGAGCTTAGTGATGAAGAAGACAATGTGCCATTAACAAAGCTCAAAGAAAAAATAATTCGAAGAAGAAATGAACTTGTGAAACATTTTGGCTGCATTGCATTATTTGAGCGGCGTGCATTAACTGTCTCTGTCTTCTGTGCTACAAACACTTTGAAGAAACTTCCCAGTTTCCTCCACAGCAAAACGGTCTCAATTCCAGCTCTCAACAGTGAGAATCATCAGTCAGAATGCTCTACTGAAGACGAAAAGCAATACTTTCAGACCATGGACCGAGATGACATTCCACTGGTTCACTTCACCAGCTGGTTGACTTCACCAATGGTGAACTTACAAACGAAGAAATCGTCGCCCCGTTTTTAAACGCTATGACAGAACAACCACCAAGAGCAAATCACAATGGACCTTGCGATGTCAATGTTCCACAATGTTTTTCAGAAACAAACATTCCCGAACCAATGGCCTTTGAAGAGGCTGACGAAATGAATAAATCACATTGTGTGCGACCAGATGAAAGAAACTCATCGCATTCCCAAACCAGTGGCCTTTGAAGAGGCTGAACAAATGAGTGAATCACCTCGTATGCGATCAGAAGATTTTCAAGTTGAAGGTGAACGATGGGATGATGATCACTGTAACGAAGACCACAGCTCAACCTGCCAAGCAACGTAGAAATTCGGGGTTGTCCTCCATCAGCCAGCATTCAAAGACGGATATGCCTGCTAGAAGGGGACTGCGCCCACGGTGTACAGGCAGCGTGTGCATGATCAAGGTGACAAATACCAACTCAAAAGTTGAAGAAATACCAAGAAATTCAAAATTAATTTTTTGATACAGGGCGGTTGCTGTTCAAGAACATGTTAGAGTGAAACAGCCAAAAACTCTTAAAGCAAAAGGAAATCGTAAAAAATGAGCTTGGAATATTTCTTGCCTGATGAACACGGTGGTTTTCAGCAAGTTTGTCATGTTCCTCAACACGATTGGTGTGAGCGAAAAGCAGGTTCGGACAGCATTATGTAAAACAAAATCGTTTGAAGTGGTTGAATCTGAAAAACGCGGTGGTGTTTACAAAAGTAAACAGTCGAAGACCAAAAACAGAGCACAAGGAATCATATTAATCGACTTCCAAGGACAGAATCACACTATTGTCGTAAGAACAACAATCAACCGTGCCTTGCTGAAGACCTAACGGTCACGAAAGTGTACAAAATGTACTGCAGTGTAATGAAAATAATGAATCAGCTTCATACACACTTTATCTTTGAGAGTTTCAGACAATGAATTTGAGATTTCACAGACCTAAAAAGTTCTGTGGTATATGGGATTCATACCACAGAGGATCCCAAGAGGAAAAGAATCAGAATCCCATCAAAGAAAGGATGAAGTTCGAAAAATCAAGACAACAATGAAGGAAACTGGCATCCATTACAATAAATTACGAGCCGCCACATTTGATCTTGAACAAATAAGACTGAGCTTTTCTACAAGAGAAGGCTACTTGTTACAATTTTACGTCCTCGATACATAATACTGCAAATGTTATTTATGGCATGAAAGTATAGCTGCAAGAGGATCGAATAAGAGAGCGTCACATCTCTGCGAATTCCTTATCGAAACCGACCTTGATGGGGTAGAGGAAGTGCCTTTATTCGCCGATGGATGTGCCGGCAAAAAACAAAAACACAATCGTGATTGTTATGTTGCTGTGGTTTGTTCAGCAAATAACTATACACTTTTTCGAGACCGTCCATTGTCAATAAGAAGGTGATTCGGTACATAGTATCATCAGGAAACATGAAGTTTTAAGATCTTTTTAAGATCTTATGTGGCTATTCTAATTGTACTTAATGAATTGAAATTTAGACTGACTGAATGTGACGATATGAATGATAATTTTCAATACAAAATTAAGCACTTGAGGAACTAAAACAGGGTGTTTTTGATGAATTTCATTGTTTTAAAAAATGACGTAGAACAAATTGCTTCAATTGCTTCGTTTTGTTGTCTAACTTTACCACAAACCTTAAACTCTGATTTAATCAAACGAGATCTAAAGTTTACATTTCATATTGTACATCAATTTCAATTCAACTGAATGCTAAATACGATTTTGTCAGCTTATCAATTTCAAAGCGCAGATGTAATTTAAATGAAAAGGAAGCTTATAAGGCTGAACTGTTTTGCCTATATAGACATAAGCCTCCAAACGTTCCCATAACTGAATTAATGTTCCTAGAATACTGAGAAATGAATTGAGGCTAGGTTTTAGCAATAATTAAACCAGTCATAGTTTGCACAATGAACAAGCCATCCATGTGCGCACGACCTGCGAATGATACATATTGGATCATGAGTGGATTGACCAGCTACAGCAAATGTGCAGTTTTGCATTCTGATAAACTGCCGAATAGCACGCCCACGATGACGATATCACCAACTGGAGTTTTTGCAGTTTGACAAATTGACGAATAACTTTGCGGCCAAATTACAAAGTATTGCCCAAAGTAATTTGATAGATGAAATAGCTCCCATTTTAATAGAAACATTCTTCCAAGGGGTTATTATCAAAACAAAGTAGAAGGGAGAAGGGAAGGGAGAAAAATTGGGACGATGAAAATGGGAGGTGGGAGATTTATTTTTCGGTGGATAAACGAAAGTGTGGTCACGTGGTTCCATGCTTGTGGCTGTTGTAAAAAATTCTAATTTAATTTAACGAAAATAAAAGACGATAAATATAAATTCTATCAACAAAAATGGTCATTGAAAACGTGCAGTGGCACTTAGGAGAAGACAAATGCTTAGCGAACAGAATCATTTAGTCTTTTTGTGCTCAGCTTTGGCGAAAATAAATTTTAATGGAAATGGAAAGGAATGTGATGGATCAAACGACCCAACTCACGGCAAGCACATGCTATTGCATGCGCCAAAACCAAACTGGCCAAGGTGCAGATGTGGAATGGTGCCCTGCCACTCCGGCCTTCTGCTGACGAATGTAGGCCACCCTCCACTAAACAACGTCACTGCATGCAAATCGCCGATCCAGCTCGCGATCTGCGTTAGTTTACACTGCTGAAGGCCTTAAATTTTGCAACAGCGCCGTTCTTCGGTATCCCCTGATGAACATGCTCTAAAATATTCACTTTTTTTACAAACTGACCAGAAATGAGCTCGTGATGTGAAGCCGTGCTTTTTTAGAAACTTGCTTTCATATTGGTTTGTTCCCATATTCCATAACATTACTACAAGCAAAAATGGGCAAAGCATTAATAATCGGTAGTCAAAACCAATTTCCGTGTCGTCTGACAACTGGGCATAAAGTAAACCACGAAGGAGAAGTTCAGTTATCTTTTTTTTTAACTGTAAAGGATATTCTAAAATTTAAATTTTGTCACGATAGTCTGAAGTCTTCTTTGTTGATACTGTTGTTTGTTTAATGTCTTTTTTTGCGTTTGCTTTGCTTTGAAATTAGAGATGTCATTCCCGCCGACGCTGACAAAGCACCAGGGTATCTGGTTTGAAAACGGCTCAACAAATTTGTCATTCGCCAGTAATACTGGACGGACTATAGGAAGTAAACCCACCAAGAAACACTAAAAACAGATCACACGCGGTGAATCGCAAGGGATCGATGTCGAGTGATTTAGCAATATTGCACTCTTTGTTTTCCTTTAGTTTCTGTTATTTTGATATCTGTTATTTTGACCCTTTTCTTTTTCCAGGAGCTCCAGGGAGCTGTTGATACATCAGATTGCACTATGCTGGAAGGCCAAAAACGTACAGAACATCCAACGAAATGGACCACTACGCTTCGCTGTCACCGGCAGCTACCATCATGTCCCACTAGTCCTTTTCACCGCTGAAAGCACGATTAGGCGCGAAGTTGTTTTTACGGGGGAGGAAAGGATACTTTTGCGCGCTATTTCCAGTAAAACTGGCCATTGCGGATGAAAAAAAAAAAGATTGCATAATGAATAGGCCTAGGCCACAGTTGAAGGCACAATCCTGCCAAAAAAAAATTGAAAGTAACGACAAAAACCTTACATCACGTCGAGGAGCCGTCCACAATAATGGTGACAGATAAAATATCTCTATTATTTTTTTTGGGGGGGGTCTGCGACAGTAAAGTACAGTACCCAGAACAGACGGCCAAAATATTCCCTTTACGTTTGCTGATATGCAAAATACAAGCAATGATTGTGTACACAGAACACGCAGTGTGACCAAGCAGCGGAAGTGATGAAGAGCTGTGAGAGCAAAGTACATTACCCTTTATGATAATAATCACCAAGGCCTCGTGCCATTACTGTTCTCTCGTGCGTTGCGCGCTTAGTGGTTTTGTTCGACCCGCACAGGCCTGCACTGTACCGTCAGGCCGATCTCGGCGTCTGCCCCATATGAGCTGAGGACGCGGTGCAATCCGGAGGCCATCTTTAAGAAGCTATTGTTCCATCAGATGCGAGGAGTCGTCCAAATCGAGTCACCCACAGCGTCACGCGCGTATTAGATGACCCAGAGTGAGATTCTAGAGACACCGATTTGGAGGGAGTCATAGGCTACAATAAGTGGTAAGTGACTTTCTCAAAAATGTGAAATTTCTCGGTCAAGACAGTAAGTGAACGCCCCACAACTGTTTTCTGCTGAAGGATGTTTTACAGGCTGCCTTAATTTTACCCACACAGGAGAAACGTTAGTGAGAAAGTATAGCATGTCATTGTCTCGGTTGTAGTGAAACTCCAAAGAGTATGTTATCCTGAAATTTAACAAAAAATACAAAAGAGGGATAACTGTTGTATGAAAGACCTCCCTGCGGTACGCCCCCACACATGATGCAGCATTATATGCGATTCAAGTGTTTGCCAAAGTGGGGTTTATGGTTTGCACGCCGTCATCCCATGAGCTGGCGGTGAGAAACAGGATGAATCAGCCACGGGTGCTTTTAGGCTTTTACATTATGTTCATAGAGGTTTACACGAATTATGCACGCTAGCATTGCCTCGCAGAAAGACATGCCCGCTGCTCAGAATGCACGGAGAGCTATAGAATCAGCCCGTTATTGAAGCTACTAATCAGTTTCAAACGCGAAAACAGAAGAAAGCGCGCCTGAATTTTCTGTGCTGCTCACAAATAAGACGGGGATTTCATATTGTGGCCTCAAGGACACGGCCATTTTCTGTGCATATTTTGCACGCTATGACTCGTACGTTGCGTGGTACGTGCATTTTGATGTGTGGTTTACTTTGTCAAATACCAAATACTGTTCTGTCCACAGCCACAACGTGCCAATTACATTTCAAGAAGTAAGGTTCCCTCAAAAGGTATTATAACCATGTCCCTAGCCGCACAAACCGTTGTTATTTTTGGAAATACTCAGGCGGGTTGATAATACATTGTTTTCCCATATGATAAAAACATGTAATTTTTCCCGTCAATGTACCTGACAGCTTCAGACTACACTGGAAACGTGGGTTTCAAAAGCAATGGTGCATGATCGCAGAGTCTGGAATCGCACCTGCCTAGGGGATTTCCAGATCAAATGTTGGATTTTAGGAATACAATTTAAACCAAACTGGTTTAAGGCCCCGCCTCGCGCCAGCGATGCGGCTATTGTGGGGATGTAAATAAAAAATACAATTGCAAAAGTACACGTGGCCTAGGGGCAGAGTGCAATCTTCCAAATGGAACAAAATTCGGTGACTGGCTGCGGGAAAATGGGTTACTGGTACCCCCCAACACACACACACAACAAAAACCATTAATAGGTTAGGTAAATGGCAAGATGAGGTCGATGACTTCGCCTTGGTGGCTGGGACATGTCAAAAGCCAGGACATACCCACTGATGACTGACCCTACGGTTTTCGTTATGCGCAAGTGGATCGGCAAAAATACTCTATACATTAACAGTAAATTATGACTGTGAGCCTCTTTCTGGTGGTTCTTTAGCCTGATGTTCGCAACTTGTAAAGAACTGTCAGTCTGTTAGAAATCCTGGGCCTGAGTTCATTTGAAAGACAAATGTAAAGGCTACTGGGTGTTTCTTGACAGAATGGAATTCGCAGCAATTGGCTCGTGGCAACCGGAAATTACGGCTAAGTTAAAAGGTACCGGCGGCGGTAACGTGTGGGCAGCTCGAACGTTAGTTTTATCACACATTATGCCACCATCAACCTGTTCCTGGCAAAGCTGAAGGCTCAAGAATATCAGCGCATTTCTCCGCAAGAAATTGCTTTTACTACCTTGAACAAAACTGTGAGCTCAGGGCTTGTTTCTACAGTCCGTTTTCCAGTCGTTTCTTGGACCACACAAGCAAGGATGACAACCCCAAAACTGAGCGCTGTGATCAATTTCTACGAGAAGATAACCCCGCCGCCAGATTTTGCGACTTTCGTCGATGGATGGAAGAGCCTAGGCCAATACGTGGAGACGCTGGATCACTACATAGCCGCACAGCTTCACCGGAACATCGACGAAAAGGGTGGGTAGATCTTTTGTATAAAAACTACTGGCTCTTATCTCAAGGGGGTTATGACTAACGGTGAAACTTTAAAAACCATCACATATCTAAGTCCTCAACTATAGTATCCACAAGCTTGACCATCATTTCCAGGAACGCCATCTTTCAAAATCTTTAGTTGATTGTTACAAGCGAGTTTGGGAAGTTTTAGCTTCGTGTAAATATTTCACTGGTCGAGAAAACAGGGAAACCCCGCACGATTTCGAGATGGGCAGGGAACGTCCTTCAAGTTCAGCAAAGAACTGGATTTCCAATGCCAAATCCCAGAGTACGTGCGATCGTCTCAGTGTGACCATGTACTCTTTTCACAGGCTTGTTTCCTTACGCAAATTTCTCAACGTTTACCGGTTCCCATGAGAGGATTATCAACGACTTCATGCACCCTGATCCGGAACTGATTAAGGCTGTGGTCAAGGGTCACGGTATGCCAGGAGTTCAAGTGAATCACCCAGGTAACAAAACAAAGAATACTTCCCATATGATCTCATACTTTTAAAATTCCTAATTCAAATCATTTTTGTACTTACAGAGGCTGCGGTATATTCATAGGAAAATCATAATACAACATACATGCCGGAAAACATCTCTGTACACTGACACTGATGCATGGAATATGATTTCGCCAAATAATGTCCTTTACTGCGCACCCAGTCCTAATTCTTACCATGGAAAGTTTCCTGGTTGGGCCATTTCTAATCCATTACTTTGTGGCAGTTTTTGTTTTGTGAAGGACTCGCAACGCATGGAAAATTGACTTTTACGATTGGCGTACTTCCAGGTGGTTATGACGAAATCGCGACACTGGAAGGAAAGCCGATAATTCCCGACATGCCTGCTCGCCTCGACTCGCTGTTTATCCTGAGTGCCTTCAGGGTAAGAAGTAGATCCTGTGAACACTGTCCGACAACGATAGAGTAAGATCTATGTAGAGGGGTTTTCTGCATGCAAGTGCTGGATTGCAAAGTGCATTCTCGTGTATGGCCTGGAAGCTTAGCCTTTGTTTTTCATTTCACAACTGATACGGGCGTGTTTTACAATATTTTCCAGAGTAAGGTCTCCGACACAGAACTGAGCAACAGCGGTGACCTGGAGAAGGAGTGGCTACGCTGGACGGGCATAACCGCGGTAAAGGAGGCAGCCCCTGCCGGGGTCCGCCTCGGTACAGCCGGGCTGTACAAGCGGTTTACCCCTGGAGAACCCTACAAGGCTGTAACGTATGTGATGAGGTGCGAGCTCCTCGGGTTGAAGGAGAACTTCCAACCCGGGCTGGAAGTGGTGAAGATCATTAAAGAGACGGGGGCACCGGAGGGCCTGGAGTTAGTAGACAGCGCCCTCTACTGCCTCGACGAAGACACCATTAGCGTGGCTGCGAAATCCAAATAAGTGTGACATCACTCCCATGCCGCTAAATAAACCAACCAAATCACATAACATAAGAGATCCTGAACAGAGCAAATGATAATGGTATTGAAATCGTTGCAGTTACTCACGCTTCATAATATACTATAGCCAATCAAGGTGATTTCTAAAACATTCAATTTGACAGCTTCCTGCACGTAAAGAAAAGTCACATAAATGGTGTTTCAGTGAAAATCTTATTTGCGCGATAAAATTTATATAGGCTACTTCCTCATGTTTTACGACTTTAGTTTTGTATATTATTGTTAAAAAGAAAATGGGGGGGGGGTTACTGGTCCCTGAATCAACGGTGGCTTAGCCACGTTGACTTAAAGTCCAAGAAAAGAACTACCCATCACGCGTAATTTTCAGATATGAACATTAAAGGGAACGATTTTCCAAAGAATTCATATTAATTTTAGGTCCGAGTGGGAATGTTCCAGATTGGGAAAATTATCACCCGGAGAATGAAGATTTTAAATCATAACATCGATTGAAAAAAAATTACATGTGATTAGACACAATCAAAACCCCTGCAGGTCTTCTTCAGCACATGCGAATTGCATGTTTTCCTGTTTTGGAAAGACAATTGCAGAGAGTGAGGGAAATGGTCCTTTCGAAAAAAGGCCCATTGTGGGGGAACGACGATTTTCCAGGAATGATGGGGAAACTCTTCACTTATGATTCATCATTGTAAAGCTGCTCTTGAGGAAATTATGATGGCAGTTTCAATTCATGTACAGTCGGACCTCACAAACAACTGGTCCTTTGGACTTTGCAGATTACCATATAACATGAACCGTGTATTATCAGGAATGAAAACAGTGAAGACCAAATAATTGGGCCCTAAAATTTCCTCTCAGTTTAAGCAGAATGTTGTACTAACAATGATCTTAATAACGAAGTTCGACTGAACATGTTCCTATCATACTAAAGACGCAGATTCAAGTATAAAAAAAGAAATATATTCTGATATGAAAACATATGCACCGGAAATTGTTCATTTATTCCGGAGTGGTTTTAACTACGATAATCATCTCCAGCCCCAAACAGAAGGCTGACAAAAATTCCACAGACCGGCAATGAAACAAACTACGAATGATTTCAGTGGATATACAAGCGGACTGGTGCATGATACACAAGCGAACTGGTGTATCGACTATTGTTTTAAAACACCCCTTTGATAAATCGAATCCGTCCGGTTATAATCAACTTATTTGGGGCAAAACCGTTTCTTTTGTAATTTTGTTTTTGATATTGTGGCAGAAACGTTTCAAAGAGAACACCAAAGCATCGAGTAGCTCGGACCAAGTTTACAATAATTAGGCCTATGTGAAATTCTTAGATTTTTATACGTAAATCTGGGCTCGCCTTTCGTTCCAGGACATTCAACTTTCTATATAACGCTGCTGATGTCATTGGTAAATGTTAAATACTTCAAATACATGTAGTTATTCGAGTTCTTTTGTATTCCTTTATCAATAAAACAGAAATAGCCAGCTTAAAGAACTCAGTGATGAATATGTATTTTGCGGTGGTGATGGTGATTTTGAAAGCTCTTTGCCGTAATAGTCCCGTGAGGCGTCTTTTGCCAAGTTGAGCAGCTCTACCACTCCACTATTCTTCTCGACCTTTGTGCAGTAGGCCAAGAGGCTTTGAGGTCGTGTTTACATGTGATTCATCTAGGCGAGAAACCGAATATCGAAACGTAAGGTGCCACGATCTCCGTGTGATGAGTGCATACGAATATACACGTACATGTACGTGTGCATTAAATTTACTCGGTTCTTCACACGATTATCACGAAAGGTTAAGATGAAAATAATTGCTAACAAATGCTATGACTTACTGCACGCAGCCGTGACCTTTAATCTATGAGCTAATTCAGGGTTTAAAACGAAGACGATATGACGACGTGGGTCTTTATGTGGATTTTCTTTTGAATTCAAGCAACTAAATATTACATCTTTTACGGTATGCGAAAATAGTTTTCCCAGAACAGTGAATAATTTCAATGGGAAAAACTAACCGGTAAAGTTCAAAGTTTGGGGAGTAATTAAATGTAACATTTAAACCATGAGAAAACGAAAGATAAAACAAAAACCCAAAAGAAACCCCACTTCCCATTCTGAACGTTCGACCAACATGGGAAAAATTAACATCGACTACGTGGCATCCAGTATAAAAAAATAGGCCTAGTAGTTTATTACAGCCTACACACTGGGCTCAAAAGAACTACTCGTGGCAACTGCTTTAAACCTGCTGGTGGACTCCCTTAACAACTGCAGGGTTACTTCATATAAATGAAACCCGCGTGTCAAGTTGCACCAACTGACGTTGCCATATAGACGGGAAAAAATCGAAATTCGGTAATCTTTTATTTCTCCGTTCATCGGCCATAGTCATCAGCAGTGACAGAAATGAGATATCCAATGGTGAGAAAGCCAGGACAGAGGAACGTTAGTAAAAATTCTGTTTAGCCAGGAAACTAATACTTACCCCCCAAAAAAAAACCCAAAGCATGGAACTTAAGATATTCCGCTTTACAACACCTCACCCACAGATGCTGTTTCTTGATTAGCTGACAGCTGTCTCATTACATTTGCTGTTTCAGTTATTTCGCTTTTTAAGCCAACGAATTTACCCGCACCAACCAAACTACTACACCGGCGTAGTAGCCACAGCAGTATACATGTACCACAATCAAAGAAACGCATGGCCACCCAGCACTGTGCGCGTTTTGCGCATTCACAAGTGTTGCGCTCTTGAGCTGGGTTTAATTATTTCGAGAAGAGGTACTTGAGAAAGTGTTAGTAAAACTTCTTATTGAAATAGACATATACCATTGATGTGTATTTATCTCAAATCAACCAGTTATAGTTGAAAATAAGCAGAATCTGTGGGGGACGTAATACATGCATAAAAGAAATACATGTACATGTATTGACTGCTTTATCTCGCCGTGTTGTAAAACCAGCCTCTCTTGGTGATCAATGAAGCATTGTATTCGCCCAAGAAGAAGCCTAGGGAAAATAAAATGTTCCACGGGTCACCTTCCGAAATTAGTCTTACCTCGAAACAATCAAAATATTTGTGAACTCATGATATGCCCAGCAAAGCCACGACTTGTAGTTTTGAGTATTTTGTCTTGAAGGGGGATTTCACAAATTAGATTTTCAATACACAATATCAAGCCTATACCCCACGACACTATGTTGTTTAAAATTTTTGTAGGCCTACGCATAGTTCGATTACAAAATAACAGAGGGACATCCCTAAAACATAATGCTTTATTCTCATGGCCTCGTCAACAGTTAAAGAACAACTAAATGCATTCACCCTACTGCTTTGTCGTGTTTTGTATTGTAAACTTGAGCTTGCGTCCAAAGTTCAACGGCATATCCTGAAAACGGACACGTATCGTTTAATTTGCCAAGTCCATAAGCTTGGAATCTGAATTGGCAAGTGTATTATTTTGGAAGATGACGAAGTAAAAACACATCGTAATCACTGTGCACTTGACATACCAGGCCAGGTCACAGCGCATGAGAATCTGGCGGTACCGCTGTGTGCGTGTCACTGTTTGCGAGTGTGACTGAGAATACACGCCATCCATTGTTGTGCATTTATGGAGTCATCCAATGCAGTGGTGTGATGGCGCTCAACTAGAGGGTATACGTAAACCGTCAGCCCCTTTTCCGATTTCAAAGCAGTCCGCGTGTGGACCGGTGTCTTGTTAATGCCGACGTTTTAAACTGGGACCGACACCGGCGTCAAAAGATGGCCGACTTCAGGGAAGATTGTGGCACGGCATTTACAAACGCCGGGTTCGATGGCGATCGTTCCTGCTCAACCTCGTTACATATCCCAACTGCATCTGATGAAAAACTCAGCGTCCCACACAGCGGGTTTTCGGATCAGTGGGCCTCGCCTGCGGGACCTGAGTCTAGCGTCGCCGACGGTCTGTCGCAACCGCGATCCGAGCACCGTTCGTCCCAGGGACAGCATGCTGAGCTGGAAAGCGAAGACGACTCCCTGCCCAGACCATGTGGATACTGCTGCTGGGTGCCGGCCTGCCTGCAGAGGGTGGCCTCGGGCCGGTTCTTCGTCTTGTTTCTCAGCATGCTCTGTCTCACCGAGGCTGGCCTGACGGTGGGCTATATCAGCAGCGTGGTCACAAGCTTTGAACTTCAGTTCCGATTCAGTAGCACACTTGCGGGCTTCGTGGTCAGCTGCTATGATATCGGCACTCTTGTGGTCATCTTGACCAGTTATTTCGGCGGCCGCGAGGCAGCCAACCGGCCCAAGTGGATTGCGTGGAGCGCCTGGTCCATGACGCTGGGCGCTAGCATCGTAACCCTTCCGCACTTCTTTATTTCCTACAAGGCCAGCGGGAACGACACTGTCGCAGAGGTCTGCCATCCTGAAACCTCGCTACAATCTCAGAGAAATTGGTATGAACTGGAACCTGCTTGCCAAGGCAACAGTGGCAACAATATTGAGGGCTCGGCACTGTTTTTTCTCATCCCTGGAATGCTGCTGATTGGAGCTGGGTCGACGGCTACAATGACGCTCGGCATAACCTACATCGACGATTTCGTGCGAAAGAAAGAAACACCGATTATGCTCGGTAAGTTGTTGGAATAGAGCCACGCGATTATACAGAAACTCGGGTCAGCGGGGCCACTAAAACTTGACCAAATTTAGATTCACAGTCACAAGCGAATGACTGATGACTGGGGTAAATGAGACATAACCGGTCTGCGGTAGTGCTGCTTTTAGACGGGCGTTCTTGTCATGTCGAGTCATTACTATCTCTTCCCCTTCCGACCTCTTGCCAGGGGTCATGCTATTTAGCATCATCAAGCGTCAACGTGCGTCAACGGGTTATTTAAGCATATTTTTATGCAAAGATTTTTTAATCTAAAATGTTAATTAGGATCCTACATATCAAATTTAATACATTACATCTACCTGGAAAAATATTGAGTGTTTAAATTTGAGTGACAAAGTAGGGCCTGTTTGTGCAGTCCGACCGGCCGCCATCTTGTGTTTGCGTGGATGGCCGTACGGCAGAGGAAAGACAGACGGCGGACCCCATACATCGCGAAAAAATAGCGTTTTCCTTCGAGAACCTGGAAGCAAATTTGTTGTTTTTCTCACACAGTGAAAATTGTTAGAGTCTCTAACATATAATAAAACCACTTTTAAATTTGTAGAGGGTATTTTCAAGACGTAGATTTTCTTTCACTGCTTAGCTTTGTTCAGGACAGACTGAAGTGATTTCCCCTGATCTAAAATGGATTCAAAAGCACATGTATAAATGCCGACAAAAACCAATAAACTGATTCGTGCTTATCACATGTCTACGTTGTATGAAAACTCTAACCGTACGAGTAGTACAGCACAGTTAAAACACATTAGCACATTCCTTGATTCACATGCTGTGGAGATACACCATCGCTAACGCAAAACGTGATTCGTGCAGGAGGAAACATAAGAACTGGCAAAATAATCCTAGCACTTTAAATGATTTAGACAAGACAGCCCACTTACAGTATGCATGGCAAGACTGAGGATTCATTAAATTTATCTCAAGAAAGAGTTGCCAATATCACTGTTGACGGTGTCGATACCGTTCTTTATCAACCACACGGTTAACTGCTACGCTAACGGAAAAAAACACATATTTTTTCGCTGCTACGTAACCCTTTAAATCAAATACACGTATTCACAGATGCACCATGTTATTTAACTCGTCACTTTGAAGTTCGGCCAAAAGAACGGTTAATTAAACTATTTCTATCAGAATAACCAAGTCGTCAGTTTCCTCCTCCACCACTACCAGTTCATCTCCACTACACACAAACTTTTGGTCACAACAGATTTCCGTATCGCCATTACCATGACACACAGAGTGAATGGTGAACAAATTGTTAAAGAGTTTAATAACAATATTACCGGTAAATATTTTTAGTTAAATATGGCCAAATAGACGGCTAGATTTAAGTGAAAAAGTACCCCAACCCCAACAAATTCCAACAAAAGGTTTTTCGACAGATTTCAGTTTTACTAGATGTGATGAGTGACAGGCAGAAAGTCTATAAAATTCTGACCACCGGAAGTGTTTTTTTGGGGGGGGGATTTAAAGATGGCCGCCCTGGTACTGGAAAAACACTGAAATGGTCGTTACTTTCTAAATATGCAATGTACAAATTTGGTTTCAGTGTCTACTATAGGGTTTTCAGGGTCAACAAATTTACTGATGATGATGAAATTAAATACTGACCTATATAAAGAACCATAAGTTTCATTCGGGTCAATTTCAAAATAATGGCCGCCCCTGTACAAGAAAGTCATTATAAAAGTCATAACTGTCTTAATATTGCAACGTGTATCTTCACTTTCAATGAGTAGTATAGGCTTTTCAGGCTCAACAAATTCACTGGTGATGATAAATTACATACTGACCTACGTGTATACAAAGAAGCACAAGTTTCATCCAAATGGCCGCCCTGTTACTGGAAAATTACTAAAACTGTCGTTTCTCCGTAATATGCAATGTACACATGTACATTGAACAACTACCATAGGATTTCCAGAGTCCAGAAATTCACTGGTGATGAAAAAATTGAAGCGTGACCGGTAAAAACAACAAGAAGTTTTATTGCGGTCAATATCAAGATGGCCGCCCCTATACTAGCAAGTCAATAGTTATAAATTTCTTAATATAAAATGATTCATTGTTTGCTATCCATCAGCATTAGCTCCAGTGTTTTTTTCTTCCTATATCTGAACTGTGATTGCTAAGTTTCCAATTCTGACCCTCCAATATTTTCAAATTGACTCAACCACTGTGGCCAACTTAAGGGCTGTTCAATCAGACTAAGAGCTTCAAGTTACTATCCCTAGACTTATAACTAGTCTAACTTTACCACACCACAGATATCCAGGTAAGATGAGCAGGTGTGTTCTCAAAAACTTGTAGCCATTTGTTGAGATAACGTTTTGAAAGGTATGGAAGAATTTTTCTTTAACCCTAACCCCTTGGGATGTAGGTAAAATCACTGAAATTGAAGGATTTGAGACTGTTAGGGCTATGGTTGTCCTAACTAAGGATTTTAGTTGTCCATGTTAACCAAGTTTTTCAGCATAGCAGCACATGGTAATCAATGCCCACATTGAGACAATGGCAGCTGGTTTCTTTGCACCGTTCTCGGATCTTGCAATGGCTGGCAACCACATACATGTACTTCTACGTTGTTTGGCTTTGGGGGAGTTGAAGCTGTTGGATCTTGTTACACTGGGCAGGGAAGCCACCTTGCCTAGTAATACAGACTAATGTGTCTGGAATGATCCATGCAAGAACTGCTAAGAAGGATTTGTCTTGACTGGTTGTCTTATTTTGTTCCTACTTATCCCCCGAAGCAATCACAACCTTGAAATTGACGTAATGGCAGATTCCAAGTAAACACCTCTTGAGTTGAATGTAATATATCAAGAGTAACGTTTGAAGTATCACGCGTTCGACATATGGAGGGTTTAGGTTTTATTCACAGGCAGAGTATGGAGAAAATTACGCTTCTCGGAAACGGACGAGGAAAAAACGGTGCAGTCGAAAATCATTATTTACGCGAGAATAACGGTCTTGTGTGTGTTTTCACTGCCCGTGGCTGCCAACAACAACGGGGGAGATTCATGTCGTGTGGCTCTTTCTACAGTATTCAGAGAAAGTTAACCCCATTCAGCTAGCATGACTTGTCTAGTTCTCAAAAAGATACTTATTACTTCTAGCATCTATCACGGCAGAAACGATAATCTGGGTTGTGTTTGAACATTTTTTTTCTTCGATCTTTCCTCTTCATTACAGTGTGTGTAATGACAGTTCAGAAACAGCAGGCACCTGAATGTAATCTCTTCATATCAGGAAAAGAAACGAAACACTCAAGTTTTCCTAAATTCTGAAATGGATGCACTAAAAGTCGAACCGCTCACAGGCTCACTTCCACGACAACAAAAGTACAAGGACAGGTCAGGCATGAATCTCCGGTATATTCTAGAAGGTCGTGATGCAGACTCGAACCGAGTGCCTTAAATGTGACTTGAGGGTTATGTTTATAACTGGACTGCTGAATATACGAGTTGGTGGGATTGTGCGTGCCCAGATTTAAAAAAAAAAATACGCATAATAGGGCCTCTTCCGTCTATCCAAAAGGATTCACTTCGGCCCTTTACTTTAGCAAGTTTCGGTGTACGAGGTCAAAGATACGCGCTTCGGATGAGATATTTGAAAACCTGTAGTCAGGTGATTCGTTCTAACCAGTGATTGGCGTATTGACCTCTCTACCGGGAAATATCACCCTCAATTAGTGACAGGTTTTGCCTTAAACATAGGCTTTGTATGTTTGCCCCCAATTAGTTTCAAAGAGGGGCGAAATTTGTACTAGAACTGCGTAATGGTATTCTGATAGCTGCGTGCTAACTTTTAACACTGAGTGGACTAGCGTTCGCTTTTGAGCTGACGTCAGACTAACAGGGCACCGTCAGGGAAATTAAGCATGAAAGCAAAAACATGTGGGGCATTTGAAAGGAAATTGCAATATCTCTAGGAATTCCGCTGGACGTCACACATGATTTAATCCATTGAACTCTGCTACCTGCTGATGGATTATCAATTAGTAATTGCATTTTTCTTTTCAGCAGGTTCCAGCTCTTAATTTCTGTTTGATTTCAATGAAATATTTATTTCATTGTTTCCTTGTTCAACGTGTAGATAACATTTGTAATTAAATTGTTTTGATTTTGATGCGTGTATGTGTGTACTTTATCATTTTGAAAGTGTGAATAGGTACGGGTCTTCTATTTTGTAAATTGTGCGGTTTTTTTTAACTGTTCCAATTTTTTCCCACTTGTTTATCCTTCTAACATGGTTCATGCCGAGCCAGTCACGTCGGAGAGTCACGTAACTCGCTTAATTTATTTTCCAAAGGAATGACACAACAACGCATATAAAAAGAATAACTACTGAGTGAAAACATATCATCAACCACATGCACATGTGGGTACGAAATGCTGGCATTTCATGCTGGCATTTCATCTTGCTCAAACGGGTGCATAAAACAGTCTTGTTTTGTTTGTGATCCACCTCCTTTGTGATTAACAGAGCAATGACTTAGGCTTGATTAAAATCACTTTATTAAGAGCATGTTGTTATTGGTTTTAGTTTCACTGCATAATGATCAACGTTTCTAATCTCAATAAAATGCACGTGTACTTGCAGAGATAAAAAGATTATGTACATGTACACTGTTACTTTGCCGTGTCAAGCTCAGAAGTAGGCAAGTTAAATGAATTGAAATTAAATCATGATTACAAATCATTCACATGAAATTAATTTCCTGAATCTAAAAATGTGGTATAAATCGAAACAAGTGGATTGAATTTAACAAAAATCTTGCCAACACAGATTGTGTGTAACACGTGTACATTCATACTTCTTATCAATACCAGGAACTGAAAGGCTCATACAGGGGGTTTTGTTTTAAAATGTGCAAGACCTGCAACATTACCAACCACTTCAAAAGAATTTAAAATCAACTATTTTAAAAATTAATTAAATTTATTATTAACTTTTTGTCCTTTTCCCAAAAAAATTAATATGTTGAGTTTAATCAGTAATTGTTTTTCAAAAACTCATTTGATTTAAATCAGTGATTTAAATCAGCCTACCCTGCCTCTTGAGCTATGTTCTAAGATAACTTTGTGAAAATGTCACTGAGATTAACGAACACCGTTTACACCGCAAAAGATGAAGCGAATCCAAATTTGGCAGATGAAAAAAAAATCAGCTTGGTGATACTCCAAGGATTACCGGTACCTTAAAGCGAGTAAAAAACTTGTCCCACAACTGTTAAGCAGTTTCTTTAACTAATTTAATTCACGTCATTAAATCCAATTTGGAACTATATTAAGCATCTATATAGGCCCTACTGACTGATTGCAGGTGACTTGTTAACCGACTGACTAGCTGACTGAACCGTTTGACATAAATTTCTGATCGAGTTTATGTAATGTTGTTTTACTTGTGTAATATGACTTTTTTAAAAATTACACGCTGGTTTTCATTTTTTTAATCAGGCACCCATAGGAAATCAGAGCTACCAGCACTGAATGGGATACTCAGTTTAAAGAAAAAATAAACAACAGTCATAATGAAATGCCTTAAAATTTTGAGTGTGTGTTTACGGCATTTATTTTTGTTGTCCAAACGAGGTATTAATGTGATGTTGTGGCGCTGAGTGCCTGTTACAGCATTTAATTCTGTTGTCCAAACGAGGTGACGCTGAGTGTGTTTACGGCATTTAATTTTGTTCAAACGAGGTATTAATGTGACATTGTGGCGCTGAGTGTGTGTTTACGGCATGTACTTGCCCAAACGAAGTGGTTAATGTGGTGTTGTAGTGCTTAATTACTCTTTCAAGTGTAGATCAAATACATTTTACATAAAAACACAAATATTGCTTTCTGAAGAAAACTGCAGGCAGGTCATCATTCGTGCATACTCCATTTATCCATATATATACGCACTGAGATTGAAGTTTGTGGCACTGCAAGAAGCAAAGTTAGGTGCATTTTAATTTTGTCAGACACTATCTGAATTCTGCATGGACTACGGGAGGTCGTACGTTCGAATGTTTCCTTTGAACAACCTGGTAACCCGACCTTTTTGTTCGATAGTTTCCGTAACTTGCTGCTTTTCTTCATGTTTCCTCTTAACATAAGAAATTTGCTAAAGAAACGATAGTAAAATAGCAATAGGGCCATTATGCAAAGTGTTTTCTATTAAATGTTAAAAATAACATGGTTGCTAAAAAAAGTAACCTTCATAATTTCCTTTTGTGTGTACTTACCTTGTAGTTTCCTTTACTTGCTTGGCCAGTGTGAATTTGAATGTGCTTCCTGTTCTGTAAATAATGTTGCAGAGGTTGTCATTTTCCTTGACGCATCAGAGTTCCTATTGTCGCAGGTGTGATGTGCATTCTTGTCCAGCATATCTGAAACATGAAAGAGCGTGGTCATAGTAATTTTTCTTCCATGCTTAAAATCATGACTCCTTTTGAAAATATAAAGACATCCCTGCTTTATTGGTATCGCATGAAGACACAAAGACCCCTTGAGGATTACCGCTGTATTACACTAGAATATCCCACGTCAGGAAAGTGTACCACATGGAGCTGTTCAACAGCCAAAGTATTCAAAACTTATAAACACGAAATGGATTAGTGGGTTTTTTCAGGAGCGCCTGATCACGTTAAATTCATGGTACTCATGTAACAGTTCTATTTGAAACACTTCGTTCAGTAACAGTTAAAATGAACAATTACATGGTTCCAAAATAATCAAGTTTGGCCTGGTGTTGAGTCAAAAAGTGTATAATGGAGAACACACTCAGAACTTGTCATATGCCTGGCAGAAGGGCGTAAGTGCTTAGGCCCTTTTACCAGAAAACGTTTCCCAGCACAAGGACGTAAGTTTGCAACTATATATGAAAATTTCTCTGCAAAAAGAAAACAAAATTCCCAAGTCCTTTAATAAGTTGTTCAAAGGTTGCTTTTTGTACAGCCTGTGTTGATTTTGTAGTAAATTTTATCCGTTTTTACTAAATAAAAACAGTGTGTTTCATACGCACTTTTGCTGGGAACATTTTTTGTGCTGTGATCATGCTTCCTGGCAAAAAGGCATTAACATGCTTATGCCCTTTTACCGGGCACCCGAAGAACTTTAGGGTTGTGCAAAGCGTATAAGTGATTCGCACTTTAGGGGAGGATTCAAAGGGCAAAAATGAAGGCTACTGCTGAAACAGAGAGATTCTTTCTGCCATTACGATTTTCTCAAGTGACAGGCGGGGTTTTCATCTTACTACTTGTGAATACTAGATAAGAAACAAGTTGCCACTAACCCGTAATCCCTCGTCCATTCTCCTTCTAAACGAAACTCTTCAAATGACATTTCCTTTCCTGTTTATCTGTGATGTTACAGCCATTGTCTACAGCACCACTGTCATCGGACCAGCCCTCGGCTTTCTCATTGGTGGCTTTTTCCTCAAGTACTATGTGGACTTTGACACCACCAGTGGATTGGAGACACCGGTATCACCATCTAGCCCCAGATGGGTGGGTGCCTGGTGGCTGGGCTTCTTCTTCTTCGCCGGGGCTATCTTGGTCACAGCGTTCCCGGTCTACGCCTTCCCGGCCAAGCTCAAGAGGCCGGCCGAGAAGGGCCAGGATGGCAAGCCTGAACAGCCAGTAGATGAAGAGGACGATACTACCGTGCACATGGCGTTCAGCGATGTCTCCCTGGGAAGTGAGTTCATTCCTCTGCTTCCAGTCTGGACAGAGTTAGAAATAATTACATGGAGGATTAAGCTTCACTGACTTAAAGTTCAAGAGCTACTATCTGACATATCTACTGAAGATTTTATAAATTACTATAAAAGCATACAAACACTGGAAAAAACAGTCAAACATGTCCAGGAGCGATAGTTCAGAGTGCTTAGTACAGTACTTGGCGAACTGCCACAGGCTAATAGAAAAACAGCCCAACAGCAAAGGTACTGTGCAATAGCCTGGCTGCTGCCCACTTTTACTGAGCAAAAATCTGATGAGCATATAAATTAAGTGACTGTTTAGCAGCTCGTTGAGATCAGCCAGTTCAGTACATCAACAGCACTTCCCCAAATGAAGAGCATCCGAGACCATTCGGGAACATACGCACATGAGGGCTACCCACTAAGGGCAGTCATACGTACATCTACTTGTTTCTGAATGACCTCGCCTATTTGAAATACCCAACTGGCTCATAAGGCCCAGTATAATGCAAGCCATAATAAAAGTCATGTGCGCAAATAGCGTCTTGACATCAAAATGCAGCAGTACAAAATGAGTACTATTACGCCCCAGCTACAGCATTGTTTCAACAAAAGCTTTAACTGTCCAAACTATAGTTGGGACAGATTCTGGAAGTTAGGGCGTAAGTTGCTTAACAGTGCCAAGGCAGTGACTGTTTCTCCTAAGTGTATAGTCTGGCTATGGCTTAATGTCACAGCGCTGCTAAGCACAGAGTTCATTTACCAAAGAACACGTACTTGGCAAAAGATAGGTTACCGGCCGAAACTGTCATACACCATGTACACCTATTGTGACTGGTTCTCACCTGAGTTTTTTCTCAGCACTTCAGCTTGGCTGACAATCTCTTCCAAGACGACATGTGAATAAGACCCGCTATGGCTTTTTGGTTCCACAACTACCCTACAATTTCTTGATTTTTTTCCCTCCAAGCTCTGTATCCGTCTTCGGGTTTGTTTCCTCAGGCATTCAGGGTTCCTCATCCTTGGTTCTGTTAAACAGTAAGAACTACATGTAGATTGATAATGGATTGGTTTAAGATCATTCAATCATAAATCTACATGTACAGTCTACCCATGCACTGCACCCAGCAATCCACTGATCATCAATCAATCGATGGATTATATAGTAATGAAAAAAAAATGTTTGTTGCCTTTTCCACAGAGATCCCAGAGGCCATCTGGGGTCTACTCAAGAACCCCGTGTACATGATGGTCAGTTTTGCGGCAGCCGCAGAATTCAGTATCATCACCGGGTTTGTAAGGTTTGCGCCTAAGTTTATCCAGTCACAGTTCCAACTGAAAGCTTCAACAGCAAATCTTGTGACAGGTTTGTGAAACACAGTCCTGTAAAAGATGTGTAACTGTTGCAGAACGCCATGATTTTTTACATGTAACAACACTGAAGCCAAAAGCAAACAGAGTACTAGCCCTAGTCTAATTACTAGTTGTAATTCAGATGAGTCCATTTTACTAAATTCTCTTTTTTCACCATTAAAGTGATTTCCTTTAATATGATTTCAACTCTACAGTGGTTTCCTACTGCTGTTGCAGAGGGTATTAAAGAGGTGATGCAATGTGCCATAAATTGTACACTATGGAAATAATGTTTGTGTTAATTTTGTTGACTCACTCCTTTTCGAATGAACTAATATAGTAAATGAAAAGCTTCATTCAGCACCTCAGTAGAACAAATTCCACATAATCATCAAAGTGCTGAGGATGTTAACGAACTTTCTTTGATTTCTTTGAAAACAACTGCTTGCCAGGGTGAATCTGACATGCCCTCTTGAATATGTAAATAATTTAGACCTTTCAGCATTACTTGTCGGGTTGAATTGGTACAACCATCAGCATTAGGATTCCTAGTTAGAATTATGCTCAATCTCCGCCAGGCACCTTGATACCAGTTGGGGCCCTCGGTGTGATCCTAGGAGGCTTCATCTTGAACCGCGTCAAGACAAATCTGATGGGTGTGGTCAACGTCTTGACCGTAGTCACCATCCTCTCAGGGCTCATGTACGGGCTCATCTTCATCCCGGGCCCGTGCCAAAACTTACTCATGGCTGGGGTAACAACCCCGTATCATTACAAGTAAGTTTCATGATAAGATGACATTTCAAAGCCACCTTCAGCGAAAAAGGAATGCGTTCATTCAAATCAAGATCTGATGATCAAATCCTTAACCTTATCAGAAATCCGACAAATCGGCCACAAAAATCAATTCTATGTCGCATGGCTATTTTGACTATTGTATACAAGCAAAAACGGGAAAGAGTGTCATGTACATGTATCAATAAAAACCTATAACTTGTATGCAATGCATTTTGACACCTTTTGCAGTACAGATTTTTTCGATTTGTTGAAATATATGGTACGATGTATACACATTCACTGCATTGCAATGCATGATCAACACTGTCTGCTATTAAACGGAACACTAATAATTTTCATCTAGCCACCAAGCTACGTTTTGTGTATACCACAAATGCGATACCACTCCTTGTCTTAACAATTTCTAGTTTCCAGTTGAGAATTGAACTTTGAGAAAGGAAAGTCATTCGTGCGTAAACAAATGCGATTCAAAACAATCGATGCGTTTTCCCCAGTTTGTTTGTTCTGCACCTGTGTAATCAGTTATAAAAGAGAGTCAACTTTGTTTTTATATCTGATTGACACAAGTTGCCAAGTTACCACGCACCTGTTGCTGAATGGCAGAACAGCTGATGGAGTAGCGAATTCATGACCTAGCTGAGTTATTTTTTGATTCTTGAAAGAAACTTTAAGAGAAAAATTACATGAACTGGAGTTCCATAAACGTAAATCTGTAGGAACTGTATTTTTAGTGAATTTCACAGCTCTCGAACGGATCCCATAGTTGGCAGGAACGATGTAAGACGAGGGGCACTTTTTTTTAGTCAACTCCTTACTCTAATGTACATTTTCCTTGTGACTGTTTCAGTGATCCTGGTTGGCAGCAACCTCCTGACCCTTACAACATCAATCTGACCAGGCCCTGCAATGCAGCCTGCCGGTGCAACCCGCGCATCTACAGTCCTGTGTGTAGTGACAAGGGTGTGGCTTACTTCAACCCCTGCTTAGCTGGGTGCAAGGTTGAGGCTGCCATGCTATCAAGCGATGATGTTCATCGCTTTGTGAGTATTCATAACATTCAACCATGCAGACTCTAATCATGACTGTAGTGAAATGGACACATTTTTCTCTGGGCATTGGCATCATAAATCAAGGAAGGCTGACTTCATCACTATTCACAGCATCACTTTCATGTCTAGCATTTAGGATACTACAGAACTATAATATGAATCACCATCCCCAGTTAAGAATACCTTTAATTCTCAACAACACTTTTTCTTAGGAAGTTTAACACAATAAAACATGTTTGATAACTTTTGCCTTTAGTAAAAGCTAAAGAAAGCTGAAGATCTCCGAAATACTGAACAATCTTTATATTAAAAAAAAGTAATCCATTATTGTCCAATCCCGAGACAATCATTGTATCTCTTAATATGAAGTTTTATATAAACATACCTTGCTGTTTTCCTGTGAAAACTGTTAACAGCATTCTCTTCTGCTACAGGAATATTTCAACTGCAGCTGTGTGAAAGTCTACAATGAGACCAACCACCCTGCATCGACCAACGTCCAGCTGTTCAACATTCCAGCGAGTGGCGAGGACGACCCACCGCACGGTCATTTCAGTGCCGATTATGAAGCTACAACGGGCCTGTGTGAGCCAGACTGCCAGAAGCTTGTGTCGTTCCTCGCTTTGCTGCTGCTGGTTGTCTTCGTGTCTTCAACAGAGCAGATGCCAGCTCTCATGACACTTCTGCGGTAGGGAAAAGGAAATTATGAATGCATCTCACTAACCTGAGGAGATGTTTTTGCAGTCTTTCTTTAGCAGCGTCACAAAGCACCCTTTTTCTCACCATCACTGGCAAAACTATGGCTAGACCTGAATATGAAACCAACATACTATTTCACAGGGACACTATTAATACACTTGTGGTCAGAAGTTCCATTATACGTTGACTGGAAATTTGAACTATCATTTCAAAACTTTGCTCACTCCTGGCAAATCTTTATTGGTAGTTGATCAGCACATCTATTACTGTGGAGTAAAATGTTCTAACTGATCAGTGACAAGCGAAAGAAAAGGAATGGTTGCCTGTCATGAAGTCTTACTTCTGATTAAGCACTTCACTTGGAGCATAAGTAAACCTTTGACCACAACTGTATAATAAAAGGAAAATTCGTCCTTGCACCCAGGGATCCTTGCTGCTGTAGAAAAACGGGTCAATAATATATCTATTGGGAGATCAATTGTGGCGAGACAGTCAAGTGTACATTGTACTCTTGAAGTTTCTGGTTTGCTGCGGGGTTCCTATGGAAAAAACAACAAGAAACATAATGGATGTTGCAACACTATGTATTATGTTGAAGTATACTATACTCCTTACAAAGTTTTCCTTGATTTTTTTTTTTTCAGATGCGTGAAGCGGGAGGAGAGGCCCTTTGCAATCGGTCTGCAGTTTGTTATTCTGCGACTTTTTGGTGAGTGGCAAATTAAACAAAAAAACAAATAGATGTTGAATCAAAAAAAATTTTAGAAGATATTTGCATATAGAAACAAACAAGCCCCCTATCATGGACTGTGACACTCTGGATTGAAAAATCCTTCCTTAACAACCTAGGTATCTTTTTCAAATTTCATTTGAACAGGGTTCATTCCGTCGCCGGTATACTATGGAGCTGTTATTGACAGCACCTGTATACTCTGGGAGAAGGGGTGCAGCGGCAGCGATGGAGCATGCCTGCAGTACGACAATGGTAACTTCTTTTACCGCTATCTGGGCCTCTCCACGCTGCTGAAGTGCATCTCCATCATCATGGCTGTGCTGATCTGGCTGATGGTCCGGAGAATCCACTATCGTGGGCCGGTCATGACTCCCCTGCCTTCACCGGTGCCAACCGCTGCGTCGGATGACTCCGGAGTTGGTGCTACCGAGAATTCTGTGGAAAGCCAGGGGCACGGTCACCTGTCCAATGACATCTCAACACTTAGTCACTTCCGCTACCCCAACGAGGCTCCGGAAGGAGACATGAATTAGAGACAAACCCAAAAGTTGCACAAAGAAGGGAAGGAGAACTGAGAGAATGCGGATTTGAAAGACGGTTGCCTTCAATCTTTAAAGAGGAGAACCACCTTCTACATGTATGTCTAACAGAAAGCATTCATACATTGGAAGAGTACCCCATAATTTTATCTTTTTTTTCTATTATCATTATATATGGTATTTCATTTTATTCTGTTACATTTTAAGAGTGTACTCCCGTAACTTCACAAATAGCCTATAAATATCATTAATAGTAATGCTACCAAAGAAATACCCAGATTTTAACCAACGGATTTATCTTTCTTAAGTGCATGGCTCAGGAAACACTTTCAACCAATTTGGTGCCTAAGGTCATGGCATTTTAAAGCTGTCCGAATTGTAAATTTTAATTTCTTTTTTTGACGGAAAGGGAAACAGACACAGCTAGAGATGAAGTATGATTTAATATCTTGAGTATGACTGAATTTTTTTTCATAAAAGAAGCCAAATCCTGCTTCTTTGTCCTCTTGACATCAATCAGATGACATCATCACTGATTGGGATAATGTTGTTGGATATGGTTCTATGATGACCAGGTGGTCATGCATTTAATCCTGAACGTTGAGGGCAGTGTTTCCCATTTCGTGTGATCATTCATTCCCAAAGTCTTTCAGATTAACTGAAATTACAGGGACTACATTCCTAAAAGCATAACAAAATAGGTGTGTTTATCAACGCTGTGCTTCATGTTGCTTTACATGTGAGTTAAAAATGAATATAAATGTAGATTAGTTTCTTGGGTTGATGCCCGATTTAGAGGTGCACTTTTAGCCAGAGCATAGGTTTTGAACCTTTGTGTGATGTTCGTGCCAACACAGTGTGCATGTATTTCAATGTGAAATATTTTAATGTGAGTACTATTTCAAATAATTCTTTCAATGAAAATGAAATAAATTTGTTGAAAATGCATACTGGTATTTGAAATTATGTTTCCACACATCAAGAAAGCGTGGCACCCCAAATACAAATTTCTAGTCTAAATTTTTCATTTACAGGATTTATCCCCATGAAATACATGTATCAAACAAAAATCATCTCCCAGCGAAGTGAACAGTAACAAATTAAATGAGATTTTTTACAGCATAAACCAAGTTTTAGAAGACAGACCTGAATTCATAGTATTGAAGTACATGTACGTGCTTTCACGTTCCAGCATGCACTTTTTACAAGTATCCTTTGTCACGCATGGAAGTTACCGATAATCCACCCACTGCAAGAACTGATCCTGCAATGCATATATTGGTAACAAATCAAATTTCAGGAACTGTGTAATATGAAAATTGATTTTGCACAATTCCAAAGAAAAAAATCGAAATTAATGAATTCGTACAAGAAATCTAGCACATAAAAAGAATCTGAAGATTCAAGGAAAACTTAAAAAATAAGTAATACCAAGAACTCCAATATGAGATTTTTATTCATTAATATCAAACAACTTCACAAAGATTATTTTACGGAATAAATACAAATGTGAAGAAATACCATATGGCATGATTTGGTATCAAAATATACAAAGAACGATTCATGTTGGTGAGTACAATAAATATAATTGCAAGTACTGAACTACTGTAATATTTTCTTCACAAACTGATAACTTCTGAATACAAGCTAATTTGACCGTTGTCAAATGTTTGTTGGTTTTTAACATAACTGTTACAATGATTAATATAACGATCAAAGATCCAACGCCAAGAAAACGATTTCCAACGTGGGGGCAGGTACGACATAAGCCATAAATTGGCAGATTCATTAACTCTGCCCCATTAAAGGTCTTGCAAAGAGTCAAAAAGGCGAAAAGATCCACCCAGCCCCCCCCCACCTCCACTGCAAGAGCCTTAATCGAGAGCATTAAACATTTGTGATTTTCAGCCTATGTAAGTACGTGTATGGAGGTGTGTAAAAAGTGCTACAGCATAAAAAAATAAAAGAAACAGTTTTACGGGAGTGATATATTTATGCTCCAGAAAACTAGATAAATTGACCACTTTTCAGATACCAAGTTTAACAAGAGAAGTAAAAATGAACAGAGTGATTTCCTGGCAGCATGCTTAAAATGCTAAAACATTTCCCAAGTTTTCCCAAAATCCAACGGGATTTTCCATTCTAGGAAGAAAACACTCACCTCTGTTTACCTACATTTGCGTATCAGTGCGCATTCGCGTCAAACCTTGCTGAAAAGGGTCACCCAAGCCACACCCTCCACGCCCACTGCATGTCTCCCCATAAAAGGCTGCCTAGAACTAAAACTCGTCCTAGTTTTTTTTTTTTTTTGAGGTCTCTTGATTTTATTTATTTGGAATAGGGAAGGATGGTAAAAAGAGGTGAGTGTTTTCTTACAAGAATGGAAAATCCCATTGGATTTTTGGAACTCCATTACAGAAAACATCTCACCTTTGTTTACCTACATTTGCAGAGTAGCACCGTTAAGTAACAATTTGGGAGGGAAAGGACATGCAGGGTAACGAAGGTCTAAACTGAGCCCATTCAAATATGAAAAAGGTTGTTTAGACATACCCAGAAGCTGCCTTTCTAGTTGTGAGAAATGGTAGCTTTCTGGGGTGTACAGGCTGCTGATTGGCCAACCTGCTTGAGGGTTTTCCCGCTCTCGACACCCTATGCTTGAACCACATCCTTCACGTAGCATGAACTGAAGGTGATTGCAGGTCATTTTCATTATGCCTGAAAAAGAAACTCCAAGCTGGTGGACAGAGGATGTTGATGCGCTGCTTGTCTCCTGGGCACCTGATTTCGATCCTCAATATCGAGAGGGCTTACACATATTATTGCCTCCAATCTCATTTGAGCAATTGTGGTCACAGAGGCCGGGCGACGTAGTTGGATGGTCGTGATGAACAACTGCTTGATGTCACCTCATGGGGTCTGCAAATGAGCGAAGAATTGTGTGGAAGCTCTTGAACAGGGCACCACCATAAATCCCCCGCCATTGTTGAAATCACTGTCAACCTTGGGATGAAGGTACATACATGTATATCTAAGGAAAAGAAGCCGGTTAAATGAACTGTGGAAAGAAACCCCATGTTACTGAGGCATACGCCTCTCGGTTGCCGGTAAAGGTGGACTGGCTCTGTGGACTAGGTACAGAATTGGCCTCCTTGTGAAACTGTTCGGGCAGCCATCAAAAATACCGCTTTAAAGGTTGGTTGATGAAGGGTACGAGCCTCTGTTGGATCAATGTGAGACTTGGGATACAATGATGCCCTGATCCCCCTCAATGTTTGTAGGGGAAAAACCCCGATGACAGGTGAAGCTGAAGAATGGGGATCAATAGCCATCGTCCTGTACTACTTCGGAAAGTGGAGAACACAGCTACCACAAGCGTGCCTGTAGGGCTTTGCCGGTGTCGAGCTACCTAGGCGGAATCTACTTCCCAAAGTTTAGTTACTATGACTATGACAGCATCCAAGCACACAAATGAAGGGAGGCTCTATCCAGATGAGCCATTGGAGACTAAGGTTGGTTCAGGAGGTCTCAGCAGTTGAGGAGCCCGACTGGAGAATGAATAAATTATGCATGTAGGCTTATGAGGCAAGGGAACAAAGGCTGTTGTGGCCAAAATGAAGCAAAGTGAGCATTCTAGATAATTCTCTCTCTCACGAGTAACTTGATGTATTCATTATTACAGAGAGGGGAGGTGAAGGCATGAATTCCCCTCTCTGAGGTTGAGCAAAAATGAATGGATCAAACTGTGGAACATCCTTAATAACATTGTTTCCCACAAAAACTGGAAGTTTCCCTTATTGAATTCCCCTCACTGTGGTTGAGCAAAAATGAAGGGATAAAACTATAGGACATCCCTTAAACCTCTGTCTCCAACAAGCAAATGGCACAAGTTTCCCTAACTGAGATTAAGCAACAAATGAAGCGATCAATCTTTGGGAATGAAGATGCCCTGTGGTGAGGCCCCAACCGAAGAAGTCTTCCTCTGACCAGTGGATGGCTTGAAGAGAGAAACAATACCAAAATGACAAAGGTCCATCCTGTCTGCGGTCTAGAGGCAGAAGGTCTGGCAGAATTTGTTATCAAACAGAACAACAGGCTACAGCCATAGCTGTAAAAGGGCAAAGACCACTACGCCTCAAATACAACCTCACAAAATGCTGGAAGGGTAAGGGGGCCAAGTGAGATGGTACCCAGGCAGTTTTGAAAATGTGTGTGGTTGTCATCTCAAGAGGGTGGTAACTTTGATGTTGCCTCCCCCCCTTAACACTGTATAAAGTAAGCCTAGTAGTTATACTGAATGGCTGTACAAAAATAAACCAGTAAAGAAGGTTTGAGCCTTTACAAAGTACCTATTATAGATTGTGCTGTTGTATGGGCACTGTTGATTCCACTACTGATCGCAAGGAACCCAAAACTACCTGTGCTACATGTATCTTGTATGCACATGTTTTATGGAATGAATGGCAGGAAATGGGACGATGACAACCAAGACTCATGAAGGTAATAAAAAACGTGCCTTAAACAACCTAACTATACAGTTGACCATGCCTAAGAATTACAAGCAACTGGAGTCCTAATGTACAACTTGCACCAGTCAGGTAACCACAATGGGAACCCAAGGAGAAGAGGTCAACCCAGGTCACACATACATGAACATACAGCATCTAATCTCATGGAACCTGGGAAGTAGACGGAAACCTAGAGCTGTGCTAATGAAATTTGTTGGGAACATGCTCTCGCCAAGGAAACAACCTCGAGTAATAAGTATGACTGCAGGGAAAGGGAGCAAATTCTGTGAATGAACCTGTACAACTGTCCCTGCAACGTGGACATGCTGGGGAAGTGCAGGAAGACTAGCATAACACCTAGACATCCAAAGGCTATCGTAACTAAAGTACAGTGCAAAGCAGCCACTTAACAACACAGAAAAAAAAGTGGAAGGCAATCGGTAACCAACAGGGGATGCTGCGGGTCCAGCATTATGCACCACTGCGATATGAATGGCGTAATTTTACCTTGTTCAAGAAACACACTGAGCAGGAGGCGCCTACCCAAAGCCTATATAATTCTTGGTAGGGGAGGCGAGGCAGAGCAGGGGCTAGAGCTGCAATAAGGAAAGTGATTATAACTCAAAACAAGGGTGCGCAAGCTAAGGCACTCTACCTGAGCGCGACAAAACTTGCATCCCATGCGGCGTGCTGGACAAAGTAGCTCCTGGAGCAGCCCTAACAGGGGGACGTAAAGGGCAAGAGTGCCAAGTTCTGAGAAAGTGAATGCCACGAACATACGGGCACGGAATGCACCCAAATTGAACATTG